TTTTTGGTTTAACAAAGATGTTTGTCCAGTGTATACCGACTGAATTATTCGAATTGCCCATCGGTGTTCTCTTTCCAGATGGTACTTTATACTCTCTTGCATTTCAGAAAAGTATGAATTAAAATTTTAGATTAGAATTTGTGTAACAAGTATTATTGGCTGCCCAGATGTTGATCACCCAAATCGAATATTCCACACCATAAGTTGGAATGTAGCGTGTATTGGCTGAAGCACACGCTGAGTTTCATATCATCATGCCCATGCTGGAAGCGCTCATTGACTATTCAAGATCGAAGACTGTTATACGGACGAAATCGAGCTGAAAATAGAACCGCGCACGGACCGATTTTCGGGTCAATATTTGTAAGTTCTTTTCGGTGTGGTCTGTCGCCTACAGTGACAGTCGAGCACTCGGATAGAATACGAAATTAATATCACTGCAGCCTGATGTGGCGAAATAATTTCCAGAGATAGGCTATTTACCAGGTTTTCAAAGCGGAGGCTTCGCAAGTACCCTCGGGCCTTGGCGACGGCTTAGAGTTTTCATTGGGCAAAATTCAACGCGTCCGCGTGAGCTCGACGCATGCGCACTCTGCACAGGCAATGTAGGCATATATTATAACAAAATCATGGCTATGTAATCAGTGAATGGTGTACCTTTCTTACGTAAGATTTTGTGAAAGAAATGAACCGTCATCAACAATCTTAATTAGGGCGGTGGCTAAACGAACAAAAGCGGATGCAGCTTGTGAATTTGTGGGTAAAAATCGAAGGTTGTTGAAAAGTGTTGTCCGCTTTAACCCCAACTATAGCAATGGTCCTAACTATAGTCGAGACACGCACAACTATAGTGGGGGGGGGGTCCAAACTGTAGTTGGGGTCCCCCGGCTATATAGTTCGTTTGCGCAGAACACCGCCACCAAGAGTTCAAGTTACCCGTGCCGATTTAACTTCAAACCAGGTAAAAAAATAATCAGTACCCGGCTATAACAGACTTCCCCTGTTAATTTTTTGAATAACATCACACAGTGAATGACCTTTGATGTAAAATCTGCAGAATGTATTGTGGGCGTACTGTTTTACAGACTGGCACCCCGCGGGGAAAATAAGGTGAACTGAATTATCTATTGGAGTTATCCCCGAGGACACAAATGGGTTAATTGTCAGTCAAGGTGCCAGACCATGCATGATGGATATGGAGCCGGAGATGTCTGGCTAACATCAGCTCGACGTTCAGCAAAGACAGCAATGGCCACGAATGACGCCTGATACACTGCATATTTTGCTACGGATTGATTTTGTTTGTATGTTATGAAGCTGGGATATCGATATTTGACCAATTTGAACGGTGGACAATTTTCAGAGTGCAAAAGGCACCAGCTAGGCCAGGGAACCAGCTAAAAGACTGTCGTCAATGCCATACTGCTAATGTATATAAAAAAAAAGCATTCAGTGCCATGTTCTCCATCAGTTGTCTGCGCAATGGGCTGTATCATTCTGCGTGCCAGTGGGTCAGTGCAAATTAGATCATCCATTATTCATCTCTATAGTCAGATTTCAGGGATCTCTGAGTTCATTACGGAACAAAACCGGTAAGCTTCTGAAGATGCCGGATCCATTAAGTATGCAGTGCGCTCTCATTCATGTTTCAGCGCGGACTGTAAGTCGTCAAGCGTCGCCGTCCGATCGACCACGCGGTGTAATGTAATAAAGGGCGCTGGTCGATTCTCCTGGCTGTCATTTCGCGCCAATTTATCTGCCAGAAATAGTTACCTTCACAGGTTCACGTGTTTTTTTTGACAGGCAATAAATAAAGTAGTGCACGTGACATCGCCAAGAATTGGGTCTGGATTCTGAAGAACAACTTACGTATGATAGAAAGCCTTTAAAGGAGGGACGGCTTACCGTCATATTTTGTCTTAAATATAATCGTTGACCACAATCCGGGTCAAACTTGAACCGACACTGCTCCGGGTCAAAATGACAATTCTCTGAGTCACTGGGTCATGCTGACCAGGAAAAGTATTTTTAATTGGATCGAGTAAGGTTTCCTTTTTACATTTAAGACAAAAAAACACATTTTGAACCAGAAGAATTTTAGGTCGAATTTGACCTGGATACCGGGTCAAAAATGACCCAGGACTTTTAAAAGTGTATATAAAGAATCTATGAAAATTGCTAGCTTTTAGCCAAAGTGAAGTCCCAACCGCCAACGCATCAATGATGTCATTTAAACGAGTTCACGGAAGTTCATCTCATTGTACGGTCGGGAAATGTTAGTGCAATGTTAATGTAGGCCTAAACCAATTAAGTGAAGGCGGACGCCATTTTGATACAAGTAGTTCCTTGTCTCCATGACAACGCACCTCAGGCATGTAATCCTGTTGTTGTGGCGCTATACAGGGTGCAAATGGTGCAACCATGCCTGCGGCAAATCAGACGGACTCTCGACTTCTCTGAATGCGTGCAGCAACGCTCGAGACCTCGTTAAAATTAGGCCAGGCCGCCCGCCCGTTATAACCGTTGCAACTGCCTGGAGCCGGGGCGGAAGTTCAGCCCGGAATGGAATTACCCGCGCGGAATTTTATTCTGCGGGTAATTAGAATATTAATTTAATTTGCTGCTGTTGTTGGTCTGTAACCACAAGGCTGGCCGCCATTTTGGCGGGGCAGGCTCGTCCACTGAACCTTTAATTTGCATCCAAATGTCACGTTCACCGAGTTCCGTTTACACAATAATATCAAATTCTCTCATTATTTCGGTACCAATAGCAACAATGATAAAGAAATAAGGGATGATCAGATAACATTATACATCTGTCAAACCGTAGGCCTACTTTGATCATTGATTATCTCCAGAAAACGACAAACATATCCATTATACATGTGTAATGTCATGTGCGTTTACTGTTGTTATATCGCCTCTTTTCTCGGTGCCAACTTGAAAGTTGAAGAGTGCACAGTTTTATTGACGGCAAAATACCCAGAAAAATTATACTTCAAAGAACGAAATGAAAGATGGATCATTGTTTGTTAAATAAAATGATGTGACGAATGAACGAACAAACAAGCAAGCAAACAAACAAACAAACAACCAACCAACCCAATAAACACCCCAACACCCCAACAAACAAACGATCAAAAAAGCTAATACAACATCTCGTCATTGACAGCGTAAAAAATGTAGGAGTGGATTAAGCGTGTTCAACTACACTCGCCATGCGTTTAATCTTCCACAACGGCTGATGAAAACATCTTTCAGCAATCTCGAATTTCGGCTAATCTTACAGAGTCGCCTCTGCTTTCACAGATCAATGAGCGGGGCCCTCGGTTAATGAAATACACGCTCCATGGCCCTCCCCTTGTGCCATCACAAATCAACACCGAGTCTTCCCCGCAAAAAAAAAGAATTAAAACAAACTCTCTCCCCCTCGCGGCTGCTTTCATTTTCTTTTCTGCCCCAATGCGGTTCGGAAATCCCGTGTGAATTCTTGTCGATATTAAAGTGAACGTAGATGCAAAACACTATCTTCTATTCCTAACAGAAAATAGGCCTGTGGAAATTTGGAGAGTTTTCATTCTCATTTTTCCATCACTGTCACCATCCTCACATCCATAAATCACCACAACGACACCGTTAGCACCCTAACCACAACCACACCACTATATACGACCATAATACCACTATCAATGCATGAAAATACAATTTAACGTTATTCGGTACAATCAAACCTTTATTTAAAACAAAGTTTGAAACATTCAAGCCTGTAGGTTATACTTTCTGTATAAGCAGAGCAATACAAGGCTGGCAGTGCAATACATTCGAAACTAGACCCAAAAAAAGTCAGTTTGAAAATTAAAAACGAGACTTTATCTGGTGTTCAGGGGTAAATCCAAGTCATGCAAATAACCAATAGCGCCTGCAATGTTATGATAATGAGAAGAGAACCGCGCAGTATGAATCACAGATAGCTTGCATGCCCTATCTTTATCAAACAGTTAACAAAACCATCAGTAATTTGCGCTTCAACGTTAGTCGAAAGTGAGGCGTCTTGAACGAAGCTGTTAATCTGCAAATGTATAAATGCATACAAGTCTGGTTGGCAAAGTGGTATACTTTCTGCGTTTCTCAACTCTTGGGTCCCGGTTTGACTCTCATTTAGACAATAATGTTGATTGAGCTTTGCCTACCAATTTCCCCATGTAAATCGTTCGGACTCCCACTTCTGAAACGGAACACTTTCATTGGTTTCTCTGTCTCAATTTGTCAGGCTTTCGAGAAACAATACACGCGCGCATTAGGACCCCGAACTCTCATGATTACCAACAAGACTCCCAATGAAATACAAGGATACCCTTATCTGTCTGATCAGCCCAACGCACGTCTCATTATAAAAAATGAATTGCAAATCGAAATCATGTGTGTGCGATGAAGCAAAATGATTCGGGGTTCGTGCAAGAGCGGCGAGTTTCACGATTCTAAGATCGTCATGGAAACGTGGAGAGACAACCGGACTGCTTGACTGACTCACGCGCGCTAATACGTGCCCGTCGTGATGCCTAAACCGGTAGTGGTGTCTACCCTGTAACCAAATGACAAAACTCGTGCACATGAGCGTCCTCGCGCACTTGCCTACTGCGATGATGCACCCGGATGTAAGCCTATATTTTACAGTAGTTACACTTGGTAAATACAGTTTTGCATACACTTGGAAGGGAATATCACAAGAAGCCAAATTCAATTTTCAATTGTATATTCACTACAGAAAATGAATAGGTAGCAATACAAATCTGTACTTTAAGCATCATTAACAATATCTCCACCAATGAAAACATCTTAGAGTGGAAACAAAAGATTATACTGGACGTTCCTAGTGGCAAAATACCTATTACCTTCCCACAAGTGAACCGATCAGCGTTCGCTTTTTATACCTAAGAGACATTTTAAGTGTTGGAAAAAGCAAAGTCAAATAGACTATCAAGTGAAATAGAAACACCCACCTGTTAAAATGGACAACTTCTTGATCGCTGGAAATGGATTGTTCCCGGAAGTGTCCAGAATGTCCAGTTGGTACACGTGCCCTTTGATTTTGTAGATTTTCCTATGGAAGTCCTCGATGGTGGGCGTGTACTGGTCCTCAAACTTGCCGTTTAGGAATCGGCTGACGATGGCCGTCTTGCCCACCTTGGGCGAGCCGACTACCACCAGGCGGTAACAGTTCTCCTGTGGGGGGGCTGAGACCTCCGAGTCCGGGGTGGAAGCCTTGGACGCCATCGCCATGGCGTTGGCTGGCATTGGCGTTCCCCTCCACGAAGGGGGACAGCGTCTGGACAAGAAATGACTTCAGAGTCTCACTGGCTACAACTCGGTTGACTGTTCCGTTTCTGCGATAGCCCTAATAAGAGTTTATCACGTATGCAGAGCACACAGACCCGGCAACGATCTGGAATTAATCCAAGAACGACCTGAAATCAAGACGGCGTCCACTGGTGTAGATTAACACCACGCCGGGCTCTTCTGGCCGGAGGAACGACAGGGTCTAGGTGATGAGAATGTGATTCCGACACGGAGATGCCTCACCAAGACCGCTCGGATGAAGTGTCTGATGATAAACAACAGCCGACAGGTCACAACAAGGCGTGGGTAGATGCCCAAAATTGGAATTAAGGACGAAACTGGTCCAAAAAGTACACAAAGCCAAAGGAGTTTGGTAGACACGTAGGCGGCGATGGTCCAACTTTTAAACCAAATTTAATCTTGAAAAGACAATGGCTCTCCCCTTCTAGCCAGAATGAATACAGAAATTTTGATGACAACAGTCTGTTCATACAATCGTATATCAGTAGCCCGCCAATTAACCAGAGAGAAACGATGCGCCGTCGGTTGAGAGAAATTATCAAGGTAATGATGTATGCCGAGCCAAACTACGGCTTTCAAAGGAAAAATTATTTTCCAGCTAGCGTCGGTGACTCACCGCGCACGCGACTGTATTAGAATTCCTCCCGGCAGTAACAGGATCCCGCGTGCTAGCGAATACAACACGCAGCTCTGTGTGCTTCTCCAATCCCATTGGTTCGCGGGAGGCACCACTTTGGTCACCGCAGAGGAGAGGGCGCCCTTGCCCCCGATAGCAATCTGCGTGGATGAACTCGGTGGTACGGTGCGACCATTGCACGCGCATCCCCATACAGCAAACAGACACACAGGCACGACCTCCTTTTGTAAGGCACGTATACTGGCCGTCGATTTTCAATTACCCTCTCCGCTGCTCCGCTGATAAATTAAACGCTCTCAATATTCCGCGTATGCTGTAAGCTCCCCAGAACCAAGAGGTTTTAGCCGATCCCCACAGAATTAGCGAAGGATTTTTACTGAGAACAACTCTGAGTGTTTAGAAGGTTCTCGACTCAGCAAAACTGAGCGCGGAAATTAAGAGGCAAAGCTCAGCCAGTCTTGCCAGTTTATCCAAAATCATTTCTGCCATTGACGTTAACGAACTTTCAACGAGAAGCGTGACTTGCATCATGCCACGAGGCACTATCGTGAGCATACTAGATCAGTGTGCTCTGACTCGGTTTGTGTAGACATGATGAACTGAGCGGTCGATCGGGCGCTTTAGCATTAAGTACGTAGCTAACACAACTAACAGACGAAAAGCACCATGAATGATGGATTGCGCTCGGAATGTGAGCAGACGTGATCGAGGTCTTTCATTATCCGACGAGCAATGTTCGGTAATGGGAAAGCGGGCACCAGTCTAGCCCGGCCCTTGAATGTTCCCCGCTATAATGTATATTTGTATACGCACACTCCAAGTTCAATGCAAAAAGGTAATGCGGGGTGAAGCAAGCTGCTATATAGAGAAGTGTCGCTGTTCCAAGACGGTTAAATTCAAACCGCAGATATGTCATTAAACAACATATTCTGTTCACACAGAGTTCGCCGAAAGTCTTGGGGCTATGACGTCAGAAGGATACAGCGATCGACGTTCAAAGCAGGACGTATTTCTTCCTAAACGAGGTGCAACGATGCATACCAAACACACACATAAGAGGACAACCGCCACACACACTATAGACGAATCAGGGCACGTGATTCCGTAACATTTACGAGGCCCCCTTCAATGGAGAAGCCATTATACACGCTATTGTACAAGCAACTGCCCTGGACGGATTATCCGAACAATAGCTAGCGCAATGCTTTCGCCCAGTGGCGTAAATCCGTGTCGGCGAGTGGGGATGGGAGCATACCGTAAAATCCTAAAATACCCGGCAGTGAAAAATCGAAAAGGCGGGGGTGGGGGTGGGATGGGGGAGGGGGGGGGGACACCACGTAATAATAGGGGGCGCTTTTCATGATACAATTGCACATATACAAACTTGCCGCTTACGTCCATGAACCTTACATCAAAACGGTGCATTCAAAACTTTTGTACTGTTTGTTCTCCGTTGTTCAAAACTATTTAGCACTTTGGACCGCAGGAAAATTACAAGATTACCTAAAAATCGGTATTTTGGGTTTCTTACCACAACAATCTTGGGGGGGGGGGGGGGAGATGATCCAGTGGCCCATGCCCCAGGCCAATAGGCGTGTGTGTGTGTGTGGGGGGGGGGGGGGGGGGGGGGGGGGCGAGGAGGGACACCCCGCAATAATAGGGGGCGCTTTTCATGACAATTGTACATGTTGTACAAACTTGCGCGCTTACATCCTTTATTGCATCAAAACGGTGCATTTAAAGCTTTTGTACCGTTTGTTCTCCGTTGTTCAAAATTATTTAATAAATTTGGACTGTATAGGAAAATTACAAGTTAACCTCAAATCGGCATTTTGGTGTTTCTCACCACAAAAATGGGGGGGGGGGGAGATACTTCAGTGGCCCATCCCCCTGGTCAAAAAGTGTGTGGGGATATCCTCCCCATCCCCTGCGTGATTTTATGCCCTTGCTTTCGCCAGTGAAGGTGGCTTCCGTGTTGCAAGTGATAACATGCCCGGAGAGGTCTGTATACGAGTCTTTGTGGAGGGACAAAATAAAAGAGTGCTTGGATTTTGTGTAAACAAGAGTGGTTAAAAAGACGGGCCGTGTGTTTGTTTTATTATGTCTCTCGCTAAACATCGAAGTGCCACGGAACCAAAACAGTCCTGTTCAACCTGCAGATGCAGACAACATTCTTGGAAACCAACGCGCCTGAAACCGTTATGTTGCACGTCATACGTCAGTGCATGGTGCCGCCACTATGAGGTATCCTCCTCTTCAGTTGTCTGGGCTCCGTGCGCGTTTTTTTTTTTTAACTCACCCTAGTCCAGTGCGAATAACAGAACCTGTATACAAACTTCCTGCTTATAACAGTTCAGTAAATTGCTACCAATCAGGCAGACATAATTTCCCGAAAGAACGTTTGGGAGGCATATTGTGATTAAAAATTCCGCCGCTGTTGTACGGCGGAAGTGGCGTCTCGGCGCGCCCGCGGATCGGAACGGAACTCTCGGAAGGCTGGCCGGCAAGCAAGACAATGGGGGAGGAAAACAGCAGCAACATCCCGGAGGAAAGAAGATGGGACCACCAAGGATGATAAACTCTTCCCCACGACGGGAAAGACGATTAGATAACGCTCGGAGGAACTTAAATGGCGAGCGAATAGTGGGAGCGATCAAGGAAAGATTAAAACTAGACAAGGCACTGAAGCGTAAGAAAACTCGTCCTAGAGCACGGAAAAAAATCAATTTAGTTGATTCAGATTGGCTATTGACATGGAAGTATTTTCACGCATCTGGTCTACACAATGGGCTAGAGTTAGCTTTTTCATTGGCGTTACGGGGTAATCCTATACAATAGCACTGCCCAGTCAGTGAGTCAGTCAGTCATTGAGTGAGTGGGCTGAGTGGCGTATTGGGTGAAACACTCTGGGGCACTTGGGGTGCACACATTTTTCAAGGGGGCACTGAAAGTAATTGAACTGCGGCTTGTCCTTTTCGTTTTTGGACTGATAAAGCATGTAGCCCTATATGGATGTATATGGACGTAAATGCTATAGCTGATATACATTTTGAAACGCAAAACCAGGGAATTTACGCTCCCGTTGTTACCAAATCTTACCAATAATTTTTTTTTTAATGGATTTAGATGTTGTGCTTTCCGGAACAAAAGTAGAAACAAACTCAACCAGGTCCATTGCCTTGGCTCTTTATTAGGGTTGAAAATGTTCCTGCAAAACTAACTCATTCGTAAATTGCCTGGCAATCATTTTGGTACATGGATAATAATATAATGCGAACAGGCCTATGACCAGTTGCGTCAGGCTGGTGAGGGCCGCCGGCGAGGGTCCCCTCTGTATAGCTTAGTCAAATTATTGACTCAATGGATCTGTTCATTCTATACTAGAAGGGCTTTATCAACCTAAAGAAGACCGTATTTCTCTGAATCGTACTAATATGACACTTTTTTTTTTATTTGAACACAACTTGCTGTACAAACCCGATTTGCTTTGTGTTTAATGGTTGGTGTCCTACGAATCATGGAGCATGGTTTCACGCAGTCACGGTGCTTCGCGGTACCCCTTTTCCGATTTTGAGTTTGATTTTCATTTGATTTTTATCCAAATTGTCGTTTTACTTAACAGTTAAACCTCAAAATTGCAACACCCTGCCCCGGGTAGCTACGACATCTGTTGGCTTTGGATGTCTCTAAACCATGGAGCTAATTAACGTCAGTTTCGCCGCATGACAGTGGGTTTTGTTCTCAATACTTGGAGCAAGGCCAGTAACTTGCAAACTATAGCACATCCGACTGCGTCTCCCAAGAATGAATGTACAAATGAAATTATAAACAGCTACAAAAAAATTATGAAGAACATACTCACGGGGAAGAAATTTCTTGCGAATACCTCAGCTCAGTAGTATGGCATTTCACTGTTTCAAAACTTGCAATCATGGGCGTCGCGAGGGGGGGGGCAAGGGGGGGCACTTGCCCCCCCCTGGAAAAGCAAAAAAAAAAAAAAAAAAGGAAGGAAGAAAAAAAAGGAAAAAAAAAGAAAAGAAAAAGAGGCGCGAAGACAAAGTGGTGTAAATTAAATGAGTTGGGGGGGGGCAAAATGTCCCTGCCCCCCTCTAAAACTGATAAATCGAGAATGTGTTGAGAAATACAAGCATTTTTTGGCAAAAAAATTTGTTGCCCCCTCTAGAAAAAATCCTGGCGACGCCCATGCTTGCAATATCATCAACTTCTAGTTCTACTTACGGCGAGCTGTGTTCGATGTGTTCGTGAAATTCAAAGTGCATGCACTCGACATTGTACAACCATTCGTAATTATTGCGGACGTAGTTTGCCTAATAGCTTTGGCATGACAAAAGTGTAAATAAATGACGCACGCATACGTTATACAAGTTGATACATTACTTGCCATTATGAACACCAGTCAAAGCGTACATTTCGACGGCGCGGTGTAAAAAACGGTTTTACGAATTCCTCAAATAGGTCCTAAGTCATGATTATCTGTTTTTTCTAAGTGAAACCGATAAAAACAGTTTTAATGTATCTGTCACCGTGACTTTTTTCTTTGGGGGAAGGGGGAGCTAAAGGAAAGGAGTGACTGGCGGATAATGAAGAGAAGAGATTAATCACTAATCGGATAAAGGAGATTTATTGTCAGCGTGGCAATCTGTCACGTATACCTGTCTGGCGCTAATACATTAAGCTGTTAATTGGCTTAGCTCCTGAGAGGCTATTCCAGACCATCCTCGAAAATCTCTCAAACAATCACTTTCACAGTCGTCTACGAATTCCAATTCTTACAACAGTCTTACATTTCTGTCTTAAATAATGTTATCGCGCAGAGTTGGCGGTCACGTGGGATAATATCAATTTCGCGTGTTATCTGAAAAACAGTCTTCAAACGAAGAGCCGAGAAGATTGCACTGCAACAGCCGTCGGGTGGGCAAGGGATTAGAGATGACGCGAGTGATAATCTCACCCAATTGGATTATCTCGTTGAAGTTAATAGTCTAGAGGTGGGAGTCATTGACTGGCTGTTCCCAATCAGAAATAGAACGGCCTTCTCTCGCGTTTGAAGTCGGATATTGAAATTCAGAGAAAAGAGAATTTACAATGAAATAGGTATCTTCGTTGATGAGAAAGATGGGCTCTGCGATAAATGCCATCTTACAATGCAGGGTGGGTGATATAATTATATCACGTACAAGCGTCCTAAAGAGGGTGCAGCCTGTTTTTGATAACTGGCCAATTTTATTTTCGTCCATAAGCATATTTTTTTGAGCAAGTGATACACCACTGATGAAAGAAGCAACAGTCTCCCAGTTTCTATGTGCACAAGGAAGGTTTTGTTGTTTAACATGTACTCGCAATTGCTCAACGGGAGAGTTAGTGAACGAACGGGGGCTCTAGTACCCCCCCCCCCCCCCCAAAAGCGAATGTTTGCTGACGCAGACTTTTCTTTTTACGTTATGAAAAAAGGTATACAGTACAAATCTCGCTCTAGTTTTCTGGCAAATATACCCGTAGGTCCCATATAAATAACCATCAACGGTTAACGATTGGTCTACCTACTCCCAGGTACCGTCTATTTTTCTTTGACGCTTTCTCTTACTGGCAATGCAGTAGAGCCTATAGATTGTCGAAATGAAGAGATTTATAAGATAGGAGCGAACGGAAGGCAATACGCGCGGAAGGAAAAGAATTCGCTTCCCCGTCCTGGTAACTCGAGAACCACGGCCTGGCCTCATCTCCAATCTCGCCTGGCCTATATCCATGTCTTTGCGGATAAACGGATACGAGCCTCGATCAATCCATAGTCCGAGATGCCCGATAATAGTCCCACCATCGAGCAGTCAGGATTTCGGAGAAAAAGCCGGCGGTAAGAAGCAGACGGTGTCACGGGCTCAGCTTACCCTCGTGATGGAATTACCGCATTACGAACACCCATGCGCATGATGTGTTTGCCTCAGAAGGCGCAGGCGCACGCATGCACGCTCGCGTCAAGGGTACTCTCATCCCGGAGACGATGGTCAAACTGGCATTCCCATGAGCATGTCGTGGCAAGATCAATATACTTGGAGGAA